GCGAGGTGGACATACACCTCGTTCAAAGAAATGCAAGTCAAAAACAAATTAAATCAAAACCAACAGCTAAACATTTTTAGAAAAGGCTAGTGGGGCCCTGGGGGCCCCCGGGGGGCCCCCTGGGGGCCCCTGGGGGCCCCCAGTGTATATCAGAAGGGGCCCCCAGGGGGGCTCTCCCTGTCAATTTGCGGCAGTTGTCTCTAAACCCTTTTTTGTTGTTTTTCACAATTTAGTTTTCCATTTTTATTTAGTTAGTTATTTCCTTCTTAAGCTCAAAGGGCCCCCGGTGTCAGTTGCTCAATAGAGGGCCCCCCCTTCTTGTTATATGTGCTAGGGAGCCACCGACCCTAAACCCTAAACCCTGAACCCTAAACCCTAAACCCTAATCCCCGCAGTAAAGGTAAGGCTCAATCCCCTCCTTCGCGTCTCTCTGCCGTCTTCCTCGACAAGACTTCCTCTTCGCATTCGGGGGTTTAGGGTTTCCTTCGTTTGGCCCTTGTCTCCCGCGTCTAGGGTTTAGGGTTTAGGGTTTAGGGTTTAGGGTTTGCGCACAGGCCGCCGCAATGCTGCGCGGCCGCGCGCTGAGGTTTGCTGCTGGGCTTTCCGTTTTTGGGGCTTCGGCCTATTTGGGCTTTAAATACAAAATGCACAACGCGCCCCCAGTGCACCAAAAGCCCCTACCCACAGGTCAGCTAGCTAGCCAGCTAGCTAGCTAGCTAGCTAGCTAGCTAGCTAGCTAGGTAGATGGCTACCTGGCTAGCTAGCTAACCAGCATGGTGGATAGCTAGCCACGTAGCTAGTTAAACACCTAGCTAGCTAGCTAGCCATGTAGCTAGCTAGCTGGTTAGCTAGTTAGCTAGCTAGCTATCTAGTTAACTAGCCCGCTAGATAGATGTCTGGCTGGCGACCTGGTTTGCTGGCTGCTTGGCTGGCTAGCTGGCTAGCTGACTAGCTAGCTAGCAAGTTATCTATACAGCTGTCTAGCTAGCTAGCTGGCCAGCTATCTATCTATCTAGCTATCTATCTAGCTATCTATCTAGCTAGCTGAACAACTAGCTAGCTATCCATCTATCTATTTATCTATCTATCTATCTATGTAGCTAGCTAGCTAGCTAGTTAGTTAGCTAGCTAGCTAGCTAGTTAGTTAGCTAGCTAGCTAGCTGACTAGCTAGCTAGCTAGCTACTTGTCCAGGGGCAAGCAGCACGCAGCTAGCCAGCTACGGGCCTCCTCTACAGAACAAATGCTAGCTAGCCAAATCTCTGCTGGATGCCTTAGCTAGCTAACCAGCCAGCTAGCTAGCTAGATGGCCTACTGGCTTGGGGTTTAGGGTTTAGGGTTTAGGGTTTGTTGTTTTCAGAGGCTGAAAGACGGCGCATATTCAATTTGAAGGCTGAAACCTGGGACAGGCATGTTTTCTTTCAAGAAGCCGTTAGTCCTAAACCCTAAACCCTAAACCCTAAACCCTAAGGTCTCTCACTCTCTAGTTCCCTTCTTTTCTCGCTTTCTCTCCTCTGGTGCATAAGTTTTAGGGTTTAGGGTTTGAGGGCTGTGAAACGGAGCCACAACTGATGGCTCTGGTTCTAGGGTTAAGGGATTAGGGTTTAGGGTTTAGGGTTTAGGGTTTGCTGTGTGGGGTGCAGCTGATGCGTCTGGGGAGACTACGGAAGGAGTTGGTGCAGCAGGCGGAAGGGAATGTCTTAGAAGTAGCAGCAGGTGTTTCTAAACCCTAAACCCTAAACTCTAAATCCTAATTGTTCCGCTTGCACTCAAAGCCAAACAGCAAACCCTAAACCCTAAACCCTCTTCTGCTTAATCTTTAGGCACCGGCCGCAACTTCCGCTTCTATGACAAGAAGAAGGTGAAAAGCCTCACGGTAAGCTCGTCCCTGCCTAGGGTTTGAGGTTTAGGGTTTAGGGTTTAGGGTTTAGGGTTTAGGGTTTACGGTTTGTGGCGCAGGTCACGGACTTCTCCAGCGGGATGCTGGAGCAGGCGAAGGCGAAGGAGGGTGAGTTGGGGTGTACAGACACCGCAGCAGCACCGAAGCTAAGTTCCTAGGGTTTAGGGTTTAGGGTTTAGGGTTTAGGGTTTGTGTGCCGTCACGGAGACTCCCCCGCGAATAAAACGCTTAAAAAGGGTTTTTGTTTATTCGAAATAAAAGAAACCACATCGAATATCCTTTCTTCATTATTTACTACTGGCATTTATCATTTTATCTATTTATTTATTATATATTTATTATTTATTAATTTGTTTATTCATTATTGTTTAGTATTCACGTATTTACCGATCTATTATTTTTTTATTATTTTTTGTTCATTTATTCTTTAATATTATACCTTTTATATTTCAATATTTTCTTTGGTTATTCCTTCTACGTTTTAGTTGTTTGTTTGTTATTTATCTACTTATTTGTTTAATTTACTTCTTTTTTCATTTGCTATTTATTTATTTATTTGTCGTTTATTTATTTATTTATTTATTTACTTGTTTATTTATTTGTTATTTATTTATTTATTTATAATTTATGTATTTATATATTTTTAATGATTATTTATTTATTTATTTATTTATAAATTTATCTATTTACTTATTCATTTATTTATTTATTTATTTATCTATTAATTTATTTATTTATTATTTATTTTTAATTAATTTTTAATTAATTTTTTATTTATTTAAATTTAGGAGAGTTGGAAGGAGTGCCCTGCGTTTTCCGGCTGGCGAATTCTTGCAAACTTCCAGACCCTCCCGAGAGCTACAACTGCATAGTGGAGACCTTCGGTGCTCCAAACCCTGAACCCTAAACCCTAAACCCTAAACCCTAAACCCTAAGCCCTAAACCCTAGGGGCCCTCAGAGACGCTAGAGGCTGCAAACCCTAAACCCTCCTGCGATGAAGCCGGCTACTGGCGCCCTTCACAAGCCAAGAGGGGTCAAGGGTTTAGGGTTTCGGGTTTAAGGTTTAGGGTTTAGGGTTTAGGGTTTAGGGTTTGCTGCAGGCATTTGCTCCTACGAAGACCCCGTAAAGACCCTAAAGGAGCTGCGCCGGGTGCTGCAGAAGGTGAGGGTTTGATTATTAAAAAAGAAATTAAAAATTAAATAATGGAATTGAATTATATTGCAGGCAAGTTGAGGTAAAAGAAACAAATAAAAGAAATAAAAAATGCAATTAAATTAAACTGCATGCAAGTTGAAGAGAAGCAAATCAAATTAAAAGAAAAATACATGCAATTCAGTTGAACTGCATGCAAGTCGAGAGTCAAACAAAATAAATAAATAAATAAATGCAATTACACTAAATTGCATGCAAGTTCAGATAAAGAAACAAATAAAATGAATAAATGAATAAACGCAATTAAATTGAACTTCATGCAAATTGAGGAAAAAGAAACAAACAAAATAAAGCAAATAATCGAATAAATGCAATTAAATTAAATTGCATGCAAATTGAGAGAAAGGAAACAAATTAAATAATAAACCCAATTAAATTAAGAAATAAATCAAATAAAATTATTAATAAATAAATGCAATTAAATTAAATTGCATGCAAACTGAGAAAAAAGAAACAAAGCAAATAAACCCGCAGCAGCGATGTAGTGTACATACACCTGAGCTCCAAAAACTGCAAAAATTAATTTGAAAAATTTCTTTGCCTTTTCACTGTCTGTACAGACACCCGACGCCTGCATGTAATTCATTTTAAACTTAAAAGTGAATTTACTTTTAATTAAATTAAATTAAAAGTTTGCAAAAATTTAATTTTTAAAATTACTTTGCATTTTCTCGCTGTGAAATGCTCTGTTCATACACCTAAGAATCCGCACAAGTGCAAAGAAAAGTTCCGCTTCAGGGTCTAGGGTTTAGGGTTTAGGTTTTAGGGTTTGGGGACTTGCACAGACGCCGGATATGCTTCATGGTAAAACTACTTGGGGAGAATTTGAAAAAGGAAAGAAAGAAAAAGAAATGCATTTCTTTCAATTAAATTCTTTTTTTTCAAATATATGCATTTCTTTCTGAAGAAATGGATTTGATTCTCAATAAAATGGATTTATTTTTGAATAAACGGATTTAATTGCAATTAAATGCATTTGCTTTCAAATAAACGTATTAATTTTTTAACCAAAAGGATTTGTTTTCGAATAAACGGATTTAATTGCAATCAATGGATTAATTTTCAATGAAACATATTTATTTGTGAATAAACAAATTCAATTCCAGTCAAATGGATTTACTTTCGAACCAACGGACTTGCTCCCAAGAAAAGAAGCCAAAGTGCTGCATGCATGCATGCATGCAGGAGGGGCGTTTGCTGCTGCTGGAACACGGGGCTGCTTCTTGGGGCTTTGTAAATGCCATTTTGGCCAGAGGCTTTTCCCAACATGTTTGGAACTTCGGCTGCTTCGCCAACAGAGACATTTCCCAGCTTATTCGCGAGGTGCGCCCCACCCTCCGGGTGTACGTACACCCCACAAGCCCCCGCTGTACGTACACCCCGAGGGTGTGCGTACGCCCCACGTGCCCCGGGTGTACGTACACCCCACATGGCCCGGGTGTACGTACACTCCACATGGCTCTGGGGTGTACGTACACCTGAGGCATGTGAGGTGTACGTACACCTCACGTGCCCCGGGTGTACGTACACCCCAGAGCCATGTGGGGTGTACGTACAGCCCAGATGGCCCAGGTGTACGTACACCGCACGTGCCCGGGTGTCGGTACACCCCACATGTCCCAGGTGTACGTACACTCCAGAGGCACGTGGGGTGTACGTACACCCCAGATGGCCCGGGTGTACGTACATCTCAGCCACCCGCTCGGGTGTACAGGCACCTCTGCATGCATGCTCACCTCCGGGTGTACAGACACCTCAGGGTGAAGCGTTAAGTGGCTGTAATTGAGAAATAAAACAGTTGCACTTGAAAGCAGCAAGCTGCTGCTGCTGCTGCTGCTGCTGCGTCCAGGCAGGGTTCGAAATTGTTTCTTTTAAACGGCGAAACTTCGGTAAGCTGCCTCGTCTAGGGTTTAGGGTTTAGGGCTGGAGGTTGAGGGTTTGCAGTGCTGTGGGTTTTGTGGGTGTCCGGTGGGCCTGCCGCTGCTGCAACAGCTGCTGCTTTTGCTGCTGCTTTTGCTGTTGCTGCTTATTCCGTTCCTTCTTTTGGTGCTGCTGCTTTTGGTGCTGCTGCTTTTGCTGCTGCTACAACTGCACCTGCTGCATCTAAACCTTCTGCTGCATTTGCATCAGCTGCTGCTGCTGCAGTGTTGATATTGCTGCTGCTGCTGTTGCTGCTGCTGCTGCTCAGGCACAACATACCTAATAGTGGCTAAGAAGAAAGAAGAGACTGAAGACGAAAAGGCTGAAGAGACAAACAGCTCAAACCCTAAACCCTAAACCCTAAACCCTCGATGGTCTACGCGACTCGAATGAACCAGCAGCTGCTGCCCCTCGTTTCTTGCTGTGCTGCTGCTGCTGCTGCTGCTGCTGCTACTTCATTTGGCTTCCTTTCAATGTTTGCACACAGTGGAGCCCAAACCCTAAACCCTAGACCCTAAACCCTAAAGGGGGAGACACCGGACTGCCTTTTCAAAGCGCGAGTTTGCAATGAACTCAAACCCTAAATCCTAAACCCTTGAAAGGGAAAGAAAAATGAAAGGACAAACAAAAGGCAAGGGGGGCAAAGGGGGCTTGGGGCCCTCAAACCCTAAACCCTAAACCCTAAACCCTAGCCCGAACCACTGCGCAGTTAACCCCGTGCCTCTGCTGCAACTTCAGCTAATTAATATTTTATTTTAATTCCATTTGTCTCTTTAGGAGACAAAAAGTTACCTGTTACGAAGAAAGAAAAGCACCCCTCAAACCCCGACTTTCCAAACCCTAAATCAGGGTTTAGGGTTTGGCACCCACGCTGCAGGACTGGGGTTTTGGGTTTGAGGGTTTTGTGCTGCGCCAAAGTGCTAAACTGCTTAACAATCTACGCTGTTCTTCCTCACTAGCCCTTTGAGAGTTTAGGGTCTAGGGTTTAGGGTTTAGGGTTTAGACTAAGAGCTAGCTGGCAAGAAGGCGCAAAAGAAACGCAGAGCCGTTTGCTGCTGCTGCTGCTGCTGCTGCTGTATCCTTTGCTGCTACAGCTGCTGATGCTGCGCCCTCTGCCGCTGCTCCTGCTGATACTCCTGCTGCTGCACAATTCGCTGCTGCTGCTGAAGCAACGTTTTCTGCTGCTGCTGCCGCTGAAGCGACGTTTGCTGCTGCTGCATTTGCTGCTGCAAAAGCGACGTTTGCTGCTGCTGCTGTTGCTGCAAAAGCGACGTTTGCTGCTGCTGCTGCTGCTGCTGCTGCTGCTGCCGCTGGCGCTGCTTCTCGTCCACCTGCGCAGCCAATCCTCTGCTGCTGCACCTTCGTCGCCGCCGCTTCTTTCTGCTGCTGCTGCTGCTGCTGCTGCTGCTGCTGCTGCTGCTGCGGGGTCAGTCGAAGTCGAAGTCAATCATTTGCAAGTCTTTGTCATCTTCTTCTTCAGCGTCTTTGTCTTTTGCTGCAGCAGGCTCTTGAGGTGTACGTACACCTGAATAGTCTGTGGGGTCTTCAAAAGGCTCCAAAGGGAATTCTTCGCTGCTGTTGTTTTCGAGAGCTCTTTGGAGTCTTTGTTCTGCTGGCAGCAGCAGCTCGAGCAGCTGCTGCTCCTGCTGCTGCTGCTCCCGCTGCTGCTGCTGCAGCTGCTGCTCGTGCTGCTGCAGCGGCTCCAGCGTGTTCCGCAGGCCCCGCAGCTTCTCCCGCACTGCTGCTGCTGCTGCTGCTGCTGCTGCTTGGCCGGGCCCCTCCCGCTCCAAGTTTGCTGCTACTTGCGAAAGCACTCGAACTTCTTCTTTAACACTTTCTCTAATTAGGGACATTAAAGCTGCTTCTTCTGCGAGTTGCGCAGCAGCAACTCGCTGCAGCAGCTCCGGGCTGTAGCTGCTGCCTGCTGCTGCAGCAGCAGCAGCAGCGGCGTCCTCCCCCTCCTGCTGCTCCTTCGGCTGCTGCTTCTCCTCCTCCTGCTGCTGCTGCTGCTCCGACTGCTGCTGCTGCTGCTCCGACTGCTGTTGCCGCTGCTGCAGCTGCTGCAGCAGCTGGCCAGCCTCCTTGAGCCGCTGGAAGACGGCGACCCAGACAGTGAGGGGGGTGAAGTCGATGAGGGGCTGCTGCTGCTGCTGCTGCTGCTGCTGCTGCTGGCCGCGGGGAGCAGCAGCAAGCTGCTGCTTGGAAGCCGCCAATGCAGCAAGTTCCTTCCAAAGGTGCCGCTTGAGGTTCCTCGCCCGCAGCAAAGAGACACAAAAGAAAGGAGAAAGTTGCTGCTGCAGCAGCTGCTGCACTGCTTCCTTTTCTGCTGCTATAAGTCCCTGCTGCAGCTCCCCGGGGCTCATATGTGAAGGCAAAGACACACTGTTGTCTGCAGCAACTTGAATGCCGGTGATGCTGCTGTGCTGCTGCATGCGTTCCAGCAGCTGCTGCTGCTGCTGCTCCTCCTCCTCCTCCTCCTCCGGCCGCTGCAGGCCCAGCTGCTGCAGCTCCTCCGCGTCGAACGGCAGCTCCTGCTGCGCTGCTGCTGCAGCACGCAGCTGCAGCAGCAGCAGCAGCTCCGCGTAACCCTCCTCCTGACCCTCCGTCAGAGGGGGGGGCCCCCCGGGGGGCCCCCCATCCTCGGGGCCCCCCCGAACTGCTGGGGCAATTAAAACTAAATCTAAAAAGGGACTTTTGCTTCCGGGACTCACCAAAGCCTGGCTCACGCTCTCCTCCAGCACACGTGCTGCAGCAGACACGCACGCCCTAGGGTTTAGGGTTTAGGGTTTAGGGTTTGGCGCGGCGGCTTTCAGACGGCCCCGTGGATTGAATGTTTACTTTTATTTGTGACGGGAATTCTTTGAAAGATGAAAGAGATTTAAAGCTAAAAAGAATATAAAAAGAAAATAAAAAAATAAAACAAAAAGAAAAACAAAAAGGAAAAGAAAAAAAAAGAAAAAAGATAAAAAGAACCAAAAATAAATAAAAAAACAAAACAAAAAAGGGCAAGAAGGAAGAATAGGAGGCAAAAATAGGAAAAAAAGACGAAAAAGAAAACAAATGCAAACAAAACAAAAAACAGAAGAAACAAAAAACTAAAAAGACAAAACAGAAACAAAAGGAAAGAGTAGAAAGACCAGCAGCAGCTGCAGCAGTCAGCAGCAGCAAGAAAGTCCTTCGGAGGGTTTGAAGACGAGCCTCCAGGGTTTAGGGTTTAGCTAGGGTTTAGGGGTTAGCGAAGGTTTAGGGTTTAGCAAGGGTTTAGGGTTTAGCTGGAATTTAGGGTTTAGCTAGGGTTTAGGGTTTCGCGTTTGCGCTGCGGAGCCTGGCTCCCTGCGTGCCTCCTCGGCGCAGAGGGTTTAGGGGTTCGCGAGGGTTTAGGGTTTAGGGTTTAGGGTTTAGGGTTTCTTACTGGCTTTTCTTTTGAACTTTTTGCGCCACTTCAAATACTGATAAGCCAGGCGAGGGGTTTCAACAAAAAAAGTCAAAAGAGAAATCACCGCGCTCAAAGCCCCCACTGCCATGCAACCCTCGGGGTCTCCCGCGGGCTGAAGTCAAAAACACCAAATTAGGGTTTAGGGTTTAGGGTTTGGGGTTTGGGATTTAGGGACACTACAGCGCTCAAAGCCCCCACCGCCATGTAACCCTTGGGGTCTCCCGCGGGCTGAAGTCAAAAACACCAAATCAGGGTTTAGGGTTTAGGGAGGTCGTGCAACCCTCGGGGTCTCCCGCGGGCTGAAGTCAAAAACTCTAACTTAGGGTTTAGGATTTAGGGTTTAAGAAAGGGAGAAAGATAAAGATTCAAATTAAAAAGATTAACTACAGTGATGGAGTCCAAGAAAAAAAAGGAAAGCATCAAAGAAACAAATCCTTCAAACTCAACGACCAGCAACTAAACCCTAAACCCTAAACCCTAAACCCTAAACCCTCATTTTTCCACCTGTCGCCTTGAGCATTTGCATAGAGTCAGCGAGAGCAAAAGCCACGCCCTAAACCCTACGCCCGACGCCCTAAACCCTGAGCCCTGCACCCTAAACCCGAACCCTAAACCCTAAACCCTAAACCCTAAACCCTAAGCCTCACTTTTCCATCTGTGCCCTTGAACATTTGCATAAAAGCCGCAAGAGCAAAAGCCCCCAAAGAGCCGCCCATGAGAAGCCCCGCGCTTTTGAGTGCATGCAGCAGCGGGGGTCTGTCCGCGTAGAGCTTGTCTGCAGCAGCAAACCCTAAACCCTAAACCCTAAACCCTAAACCCTAAACCCTAGACCCTAAACCCTGAACCCTGAAGCCTGAGCAGCAGCAGGGGCCGGCGCCACCGACCCAGGCCGCGCAGGGAAGCGTCTCCAAAGGCCCCGCAGGCAGCAACACCCCCTAAACCCTAAACCCTAAACCCTAAACCCTAAACCCTCACTGATTGAGGCGAGCTTTGCGTCCATGAAGGCATCGCACTTGAGCTCTACAGTGCTTTTTGTTTCTGTCCTTCTCAAGAAGCAGGAGCGGCCAATTAGTCTTTCCTTGATGAAGGCGGCTTCCAGGCTGCGCGCACGCAAGGGTTTAGGGTTTAGGGTTCAGGGTTTGGGGGCCCTTTTCAAGGAGGCTTCAGGCTTGTTGGGGGTTGGGCAGACGAGGGTTTAAGGCCCGAGGGTTTGGGGTTTGGCCGCTGCTGCAAAGACTTTCCGCTCGCGGGTTTAGGGTTTAGGGTTTAGGGTTTAGGGGGTGCGGACCCGTGGTACTTGGAAGGGAGCTTGACGTAGCCCGCGAAGGAGATCTCTTTAGGGTTTGGACCCTCGACAAAGGGTTTGTCTTTTGGGGCTTTCAAAACCCTCAAAGTTGCATGCAGCAAATGTTCTTTTTTGCTGCTCGAAGGAGTCAAGAAGCAGCGCTCCACCAGCACCCGCGCCTCCCACGGCCCGTCCTTGAACTCTGAAACACTCATTTAGGGTTTACGGTTTCGCCCCTAGGGTTTAGGGTTTCGCGCCTAGGGTTTAGCGCTTCGGGCCTAGGGTTTAGGGTTTCGGGTCTAGGGCCTCCGGTTTAGAGTCTCAGTATCAGGGTCTAGGGATTAGAGTCTAGGGTTTAAAGTACAGCGTTTAGGGCCTAGTGTTTGGGGTCTAGGGTTTAGGATCTAGGGTTTAGGGTTTAGGGTTTGGGGGAAGAAAGCTGCTGGCGCTGGCTGTTGTTAGGAACAAAAGGACAGTTAAAAGAAAAAAACAAAAGAGAAAGTGATAAAGGAGAAGACAAAAAGAAGAAAATAAAAAAAGATAAAAAGGAAAAAAAAGAATTAAAGGAATAAAAAGGAAACAAAAGAAGAAATGAAGAGGAAACAAAAAGCGATAAAAAAAACAGAAAAAAAGAAAAATAAACTAAAAAGAAACAAAACACACGAAAAGAATTCATTTAAAAATAAAAAATAAATCAAAAAATCAAGAGAAGGAAATCAAAATGAAATTCAAAAAAGGAAGCCTCGGTGGAGTGGTTTCTTTTCAAAGTGCATTTAACTGATTTAATTGATTTGATTAATTTAATTGATTAAATTAATTCAATTAATTTAATTCATTTAATTATTCTAATTAATTTCATTAATTGAGTTAATTGAATTGATTAGATTGATTTAATTGATTATAATTAATTAAATTAATTAATTATAAAATTAAAATTGGTCAAATTGATTAAATCAATTGATTTAATTGATTTAACTGATTAAATCAATTGACTTTGAACTAACTGAATTCGATAAACTAATTCAACAAATTAAATTAAATAAATTAAACAAATTAAATTGAATTGAATCAATTAAATTAATTAAATTAATTAAATTAAATTAAATTAAATTAATTTTAAAATAAAAAGTCTTTTTTAATTTACCTGGAACTCTCACTGGCCAGCCCTCCAGAAGCTGCAGCTGACTGCCGCGCTGCAGGCAAATGGCCGTGCCTCTAAACCCTCGAGCCACTGCAGCAGCAGCAGCAGCAGCAGCAGCAGCAACAGCAGCAAGTCAGTTTCCCCGAAATGGAACTCCTGCAAACTCTAAACCCTAAACCCTAGAAAGCTACTCGGCGAGGGTAATCCGCCACCCACAGAATAAGTTACACCCCTAAACCCTAAACCCTAAACCCTAAACCCTGAACCCTAACCCCAGATTCTCGGCCGCTTTTGGCCCCCCAAACCCTAGACCCTAGCTGGTGAGCCCTGAACCCTAAACCCCAAAGAGCCCCAAACCCTAAACCCTAGGCCCTAAAGAACCCCAAGCTCTAAACCCTAGTCCCTGAAGGGCCCCAAACCCTAAACCCTAGCCAAACCCTAAACCCCCGGCCCTGACGACCGCAAGCGCAAAACCCTCAGCGGCGAAGGCCCACGCCGTAAACCTTAAGCCCTGAACCCGAGACGCACGCCCTAAACCCTAAACCCTAAACCCTCAACCCTCAAAAAGCTCACTTCTTTGCCTGTCGGGACCCCACAAATTAGGGTTTAGAGAAGCCAACGGCAAGGGTTTAGAAGCGCTGGAAGCAATTCCTCCCCACTCGAAGTGTACAGACAGCTGAGCAAAAGGCCGGCCTTCGCGGAGTTGAAAGTTCGAAAGGGAAACCAGAGAAGCCACCCCCCCTGCACGCAAACCCTAAACCCTAAACCCTAATTTAGGGTTTCACGAGCCCCAGCCGCCTCCCCAGCGCCCGCGCCAGGGTGTAGGGTTAGGGTTTAGGGCGTAGCACAGACTCCGCAGCACACGACGAACCAGCTCGTCAGCGAGCCCCATGGTCTGGGGTTTAGGGTTTGGGGTTTAGGGTTTAGGGTTTAGGGTTTGGGCCGACCCTCGAGGCAGCGGACGGAGAAGTCTTTGAGGACTTCCACTTTGATGGCTCTGTCTAGACACTGCAGCACTGTAGTCCTCAAGGGTTTCAAAAAAGAAACGTTTTCATCTTTTAATTTTTGAGAATAAAAGGATCCCAAATGTGTTGCTGCTGTCAGCTTCTGCTCCTGCAGCAGCAGCAGCAGCAACGCAGCAGCAGCAGCAGCAATGCAGCGGCGCAGCAGCAGCAGAGAGGCGAAGGCGCAGCAGCAGCAGCAATGCAGCGGCGCAGTAGCACTGCAGCGGCAGCGCTGCAGCAGCGCTGCAGCACCAGCGAGGGCCTATTAACACTGCAGAAGCAGCAGCAGCAGCAGCAGCAGCAGCTGCTGCTGCTGCTGCAGCAAATCGGAGGTCAACAAATCTTAGACCAGACGGTGTGCAGAAACCTCACGCTACACACAGCGCAGCCGGCAGGGTTTAGGGTTTAGGGTTTAGGGTTTGGGGGAACAAGGGGCAGCGATTATGTGGTTTGGGGTTTGCATGAAGTTTTAGAGTCCTCCTGGGGGTTTAGAGTTTGGCTGAGGGTTTAGGGTTTGGCTGAGGGTTTAGGGCTTGGCTGAGAATTCGGGGTTTGGCTGAGGGTTTAGGGCTTGGCTGAGGGTTTAGGGTTTGGCAGAGGGTTTAGGGTTTGCCTGAGGGTTTGGGGTTTAGCACTACAGCTGCACGTCTACGCCCTTGCGCCGACCGGCCCCTCCCGTTGAGACTTTAGGGTTTAGGGTTTAGGGTTTAGGGTTTAGGGTTTACGGGGAGAGTAACGTTTGCAAACTGGAAAGGAAGAGCTTCTCCGAGGGTTTGGAGATCTTCGGGACGGACAGAGACGAGAATGGAAGAGTCTGGAGAAAGCCGTTCCCCGAGGACCAGTGGACCATTTGCTGCTGCTGCTGCTGCTGCTGCTGCTGCTGTTGCTGTTGCTGCTGCTGCTGCTGCGAGGAATAAGAAAAGTCCGCCCAGGCCCCGCGGGGGGACGGCAGCGCTGGAGAAGCGCTGCAGGAAAGACATTGAGAGGCCCTGCTGCTGCTTCTGCTGCTGCGGTTGCTGCTGCTGCTGCTGCTCCTCTGAAACTGCTGCTCCTCTGAAACCAATGCTGCAGCTGCTGCTGCAGCTGCTGCTGATCGAGTTGAGGTGCCTGCTGCCGCTGCTGCTGCTGGGCTGCCGGTGCGTCTCCCGCTGCTGTCCTCTCCGCTGCTGCTGCTGCTGCTGCTGCTGGCGCCCGTGCTGCTGCTGCAGCGGCTGCAGCGGCTGCTGCCGTGCTGCTGCTGCTGCGGCTCTGGGGTATATCTGCTGCTGCGCTGCAGCAGCAAAATGCTGAAGACCTTTTCTTCTTTCTGCTTCTTTTTGTCTTTTTGTTTTCTCTTTTTCTTTTTTCAGAAGAAATTCAAAAAGTCCCGAAGTGCTCGAAGCGCAGAGACAACAAACAAGGCGAAGTCGCCAAACCCTACACCCTAAACCCTAAACCCTAAACCCTAAACCCTCGAGGGGCTCCGCTGGTCAGTGGGCTGCACAGTCACTGAAGGCACGCGAGAAGCTGGCCCTGAATGAATCTGTTTGAGGGTTTAGGGTTTAGGGTTTAGGGTTTCGTCTGCAGGGCCTCGGGTTTGGGGTTTAGGGTTTGGGGTTTGGTTGAGGAGTTGGGGTTTAGGGTTCGGGCGGACCCCCAGACCCTCGCTGTTGTCCCCTCTTTTAGGGTTTTGCAGCCCCGAAACTCCAAAAGGGTTTTATTAATTCTTTGAATTGTTTTTAAATTCAATAAATTTGCAAAAGAGGTGAAAGCAAAGAAAGTCGCTCACCCCTGCAGCCCCAAAGCCGCATCGACACCCTAGCTGCCCAATTACTGCTCAAGGGTTTAGGGTTTAGGGTTTAGGGTTTAGGGTTTGGGGTTTGGGGACTCCATTAACCCGATCCTGAGGTGTTTAATACGTTTACTCTGCAGGTGCGGGAAAAAAGAAGGGTCTTTTGCCACCAGCAACACGCTAAACCCTAAACCCTAAACCCTAG